ACAGCCCCACCCCTCCAAGCAGCCACCAGAGGGATGAAGCTGTCCAGCCCACCCAACTCCCCAAGGATCTGCTGGGGGCCAGGCAGCCCAGCCTCGGTCCCCCCCAGCCAGGACGGTCTCCGCAGGAATCACCTGCCGGAGGAGCTGGGTAGCGCAGCTCCGGACCTTCAGGAGCCGCCAGCTTTTTCCCACCTTCCCCCAAAGGAGCCGGCAGCACAATGCAACCCCAACTCTCTAGGAGGCGTTGCCTCTGGAGCACCACTACCCTTGCTGCAACATGCAGCCCCGGTAAGCATCCCTGACCTCTCAGCCCCCTGCTATGAGCCCCTGTGGCCTGCATCCTGCACATGCCCCAATCTGATCCCCCCTAAGCCACTTCCTTGAATCCTGCCCCCTGATCCCTTGCCCTGAGTCCCACTCTCCCCTCCAACCTACAGATGGCTAACTGGTTAAATATACTGCTTGTTAGCTAATTAAAGGGCGTCAATGTAGCCCCTGCCTGTGGTGCACCTTGGCCTGATACAGACAAAGGCTGCTCCGGCCCAGAGCTCAGACAGACCTTAACCAGTAAGCCTCATCTCTTCCCGAGTCCTGTATCTCCCATCCCCTTTCCCTGAGTGCTTACCCCCACATACCTCTTAGCCCCCTGCCTTTAGTGCTGCACCCCTTTACTCCCTACCCTGAGCCCCACAAGAACCTGGGCAACACAGGGTAAATCCTCTAGCACAGTGGTTACCAACATTTTGATATTGGAGACCGGCAAACCCACTCACAAACTTTTGGTGGACCAGTAACTTTTATTTGCATATTTGCATATTCATTACAAAAATGACAAATATGCAAAGAAAACATTACCAGTCCGCCAAAATCCCAGCCCCCAGTGCCAGCACCCACCAGTCCCCTGCCCAGCCACTGACCCCAGAGTCCCCTGCACCCGACCCCCCAGTCCCAGCTTCCCGCCCTCAGAGCCACCCAGTGCTAGCCCCTCCAAATGCCTCAGTATCTGTCCCCAGCTCCTTATCACTCACCATCACCAGACTCCCAATACTTCCTGTTTCTAGAGCCCCAATGCACCCAATCCCCCCACAGACTCCCCCAGTACCAGCCCACAATATTAGCCCCATCCCCAGATCTCCCCAGTGTCAGCCCTGTCCCCACACACACTACTATCTCAGCCTCCAGAGCCCCCCAACACTAGCCCTGCCCCTGGAACCCCCAATGTCTACCCTACTCCCCTCCCCTAGTCCTGCACTGCAACCCACACTGCTGTCTGCATCTGGCCCAGAAGCCAGAGGACTACGGCCTGCCTGGGAACCTCTGCTCTAGTATATAGAGACATAGAATATGATCTCACCCAGTCAATCAGTTCACCTCCTCCCTGCCCCCCTGGAACAGGTAGTATTAAGAGGTAGAATCATAGAATCATAGAATAATAGGACTGGAAGGGACCTCGAGAGGTCATCGAGTCCAGCCCCCCGCCCTCAAGGCAGGATCAAGCTCCGTCTACACCATCCCTGACAGATGTCTATCTAACCTGTTCTTAAATATCTCCAGAGAGGGAGATTCCACCACCTTCCTTGGCAATTTATTCCAATATTTGACCATCCTGACAGTTAGGAATTTTTTCCTAATGTCCAATCTAAACCTCCCCTGCTGCACTTTAAGCCCATTACTCCTTGTCCTGTCCTCAGAAACCAAGAGGAACAAATTTTCGCCTTCCTCCTTGTGACACCCTTTTAGATATTTGAAAACCGCTATCATGTCCCCCCTTAATCTTCTTTTTTCCAAACTAAACAAGCCCAGTTCATGAAGCCTGGCTTCATAGGTCATGTTCTCTAAACCTTTAATCATTAGTAAATTGGTAGTAAATTGAATGACCAACTCATTTAAAGAGGGCTTGCTAATAGACAGCACTATGCTGCAATCAAAAAGTAAGCTGCTGTCCAGTTCTGGGCCTTCTTAATAGAATATTTGTTGACAATATTTGATCTTGGTTAAATAATAGTCAACTAGCCAGTCAACTGATCAGCTTGGCAAAGCACCATCTTCTTGTCCACAACGCAGATGTTAACATATTTAATATTGTTATCAGGGCTCAACAAATAGTGTAATCTACTCGCCTGGGGCTGTAGAGCCGGCGTGGATTGATCTGCTCATGCGCAGAACCACACGGCTGGTGAGTGGGGCTCGCTGCCGCTCGGCGACCCCTGATTATTATAATGTATAATATAATAAAAGAATCAGGCAATAACTCAGCTAACATAGGGTACACTATTTTGGTTGTTTCTGTAGTATAGATCAGCTCTTAAGAGTCCCCAAATACTGATCTTCCATTCAGTGTAGAAACACTAAATTAGATTAATCAGCAACATTAGCCCTTCTGTGTTTTCCCTCATATGGACTCTTGCAAGTTTTTTTAATACAAGTTAAATACCTATGAGAGTAAAAATATGGAGAAATGCACTGCATCTAAATTATTCTTTGACCTTTCAGTATACAAGACCTATATACACATTAGACCTTGGCTTTTTAAAGATCCTTCTTAAAGAAGTACTAGGCCATAACAGAGACACAATTGATCACTGAACTTCATTTGGGAGAATTAAACCACTTCAGCTATGCCAGTGCTTAAGAGTGTAATCAGAAACTTCCAAACTTTTTCAGTTTTAGGCTAGTCTCAATTTTAATTAAATAGAAAGATGGCAGGAAACACTCCTGGACTCTATTTTTACAGGCCAAGGTACAGCCCAGAATAAATGATAGACTCAAATAAAAAAATAAAAAAGAACTAAAACATGTATGCTGGTGATTTACCACACTAACACCAGCACGTTTACAGTTGGGATTACCCCCTCATATGAGCCAACATCTAGAGCCCTTTGGCCTCCAGTATTTTACTCTCCCTTCAAGCCCTTCCTCTTTCCACTGCTTCTTCTCTTTCAGGCCTCCAGCTGCCTCCCATCCTACCCTGCCACTGGGCCACCCCCCAAGATTTCTAACCCCTCCCCACTGGCTCCTCCCCTTGCCTCCCGCCCCTTCC